AAAAAAAAAAAAAAAGGAATGAAGCTAGGGGCTTGGTTGCACAAGGCCTGTAATCCTAGCTTCTTAGGAGGTAGAGACAGAATTGAAAGGTATGGGGCTACAGAGTGAGTGAGCTCAAGATTAGTATAGGCAACATTAGAGAGACCCTGTCTCAAAATAAAAGGTGAAAAGAGTGTTTGGGGTACAGCTCAGTGGTAGAGTGCTTCCCAGTGTATACAAAGTTCTACGATTGATCCCCAGAATGGTATGGGGCAGCAAGAAGGAAATATCAAATGAAGATATATTTTTTTTAATTTTAGATGTAAGCCAGGCGGTGGTGGCTCATGCCTTTAATCCCAGCACTCGAGAGGCCGAGCCAGGAGGATCTCTGTGAGTTTGAGGCCAGCCTGGTCTACAGAGCGAGATCCAGGACAGGTACCAAGACTACAAAGAGAAACCCTGTCTCGAAAAATCGAAAAAAAAAATTAGATGTATTTATTTTCTTATTTTGTGTGTATGAGTGTTTTGTCTGCATGTATGTTTGTGCATCATGTGCATACCTGGTGCCTGCTGAAGTCAGAATTAGGAGTCAGATCCCCTGGGACTGGAGTTAACAGACAATTGTGAGCTGCCTTGTGGGTGCTCATACTAGAACCCAGCTCCTCTGCAACAGAAACAAATGCTCTTAACCGTTCAGCTAATTCTCTAGCCTCCATAAAATGTTTTAAACTGAAATCAATCATGATCAATGTTTCTGGGCAAAACTGACGCTGTGCTTTGATTTTATGCATCTGTGTGGTGCTAGGGACCAAACTCAGGGTGTTGAATGTTAAACAGCATTCTAACACTGCGAATAACACCAGTCTGCTACTTAAAGATGCTACAGCTTCTATCTTACATACAAAAAAACCAAGAGAGTGTGTTTTGCAGGAGCCATAGGTATTTTAAATTTTCTTCTTTGTGTAAACCTGGATTTCTTACTTTCCTAAAAAAGATGATTTTGGTTTTGTTGATCTGTTTCTCTGTTGTTTCTTTTTAGACCATTCTAGGTGGGAAGAGCTTCCCCCACAATGGGAATTTCTGGAGGGTCAGGCACATGGCCCGAACAGGGTCATTTGTTCTGAGTGGTCTTAGGTATATGCCTGCATCCCCTTGGATAGTCATTCTGTGGGTCCCAGCATCCACAGGAAGTCCTGACCTGCCTTTAACACACAGGAAGTGAGAACAGAAGGCTTGTCATAGGGTCACACCTATGGGTTATACTGTACTTGTGATGTGTGGGAGTTAGAGGGTGAGCTCAACGTGCTGTGGCAGGGGATAGTCCTACAGCTGCTGACCACCTCAGTCAGCACGAGCCCCAGCTCCTGCATCCTCCCACTTGCAGCAGTATCCCTGGGCAACCTCTGGTGCTTGACATCCTGCAGGTGGAAAGGAAGAAAAGTGGGGCTTCTCTCTTGTGTCAAACAGAAGTGCCTACATCACTGCCAACCTAGAAGGGCAACCATGGGGTCACCAGTTTCTGAGGCTCAGGACAGGACAATGGCCAATCTCAGGAGCCCAGTGATCCAGGACCTAGGCTGGGAGGTGGGGTAAGCTCCTGGACCCTTCTCTTGTGGAAGACCCTTATCCAACCCCATTTGCCCTGTACATGGTTCTAAGACTGAGGGTGCAGCAGCAGGAAAGAGAAGGCTCCCATCCTGAGCAGCTTGGGGCCTGAGCTGACGCTGTGTCCAAAGCCTGTGGACAGCTAGCAGGGCATTCCAGCAAAGGCTAGGCTGGAGGAGCTGCACACTGAGCCTGGAGGGGCTCATATATGGACACCCTACCCTACAGTCCCACCAAAGCCTTCTGGACCCTGTCCCCCGGAGCATGCTGTGCTGCTCTGGAATGTGCACCTAGCTGGCAATAGCCTGCCTTAGGCTCCAGCCACACTGTGATGATCACAGCATGGCCGTCTCATGCCCATGGCCCGCGGCACTCTGCCAGGCCTGAGCCCCAAGGCCAAAGCTGTGGTCCCGAGCAGTTAAAGGGATCATGTGTAAAACATGAGGGCAGAAGGCCCAGGGGCTACAGGACAGAGGGGGCAGGGACCATGGCAGCATCGGTGCATCCCCTGTCATCTTCTGGGCTCCTTTTGTTGCCCCTTTGCCTGGCACATGGGCGACAGTGGCACTGTCCTTGTCACATAAAGGTTTAACCTGCTCCTTCAAGGCCACTTCTCAATGCCTCTCCCAGGCCCCAAAGCTGCAATGTTGTTGGGAATAATGATAGAACTTCATGTGCCACAAGATCAAGAGCCCTGATGCCAGACTTATTTCACCTTGAGGCTCAAAGGGTTGTGTTAGTGTCTATACAGCACACAAAGCATTCGAGGACACTAACTAGTAAGGGGCTTGGAAGTCAAGGCAAGTTTTCCTTACAGGGCTCATACAGCATTACTGAGAGAGTACAGGGCAGGGTACATTCTCAGGGTCAGACCCCAGAGTTCTTGAGAAGCCCCTACAACAGATTCCTACTCATGAGACATACTTGTTGTGCCTCCCAGCAGTCAGGCAAGGCCCTAAAATCTATCTTCATCTTGTGCAGAGGGAGTCTAGCCTTTAGGCCCAGACTAAGCCCCGTGACAGTGACAGCCTTCCTCTCCTCCTCCTTGCTTTTCCCCTTAGTGGGTCAGTCCCGTACTGAGCACCTCAGGCAGCCCCAGTCTCTTTGCACTCTCCTCCCCTAGACCTGTAAAGCAGGGCAATAAGACCCTCCCCAGGACCTGTCTACCTCTCAAGACTTGGCCGGACTGATGACCCAGATCCCTTATGCCTGGTGTACCCTCACTCTGCTGCTGGTTGTCAGGGTTTGCTGGCTGTCTAGGCTGTAGGGATGTAGGCTGTACTCACTACATCTTAGTAGTTCAATGTCTCAGCAGAAGTTGTACAAGTAAGGTGGCTGTTCAGGTCTGTCCTGGGAGAAGACTCCTGTGTGGCTAGTAAGTACTTCCCCAAGCCTACTGATGGCCCTGCTCCCAAGGAAGCACCAGTGGCCTCCAGCATGGCCTCTTTGAAGTACCCTCTATCTTTAGACCTAAAATCCTTCCAGAGAATGATCACCAAGATGCTGCCCTGACCCCATCCTAGGCATACACCTAGTGTTTAGGCCTGCTATAGGAGGAAGGTTATGTTTCACATGCCTCCTCCGGCAAAGGAGGAGCCCCAGGTGGGGTGAGATACCATAAGAGAAGGAAGGAGAGGGAGGCAGCCATAGGTCTTGGAATCCAGTTCCACCAGAGCCAACCACTCTTAGAGCAAGCACACGTCCTGGTTCAGGATCCTGTGAATGAAAAGTCAGGAGGCAGAGGGCAGCTGGAGCTATAGGAAAGAGCCCTGCCTGCCTGCCTGCCTGCCACCCCTCCACGCGCTCCAGAGCTTCTCCAGGGAGGGCCCTGGGTAACTTAGGAGGAGCCCCTTCCTCTGAATCACGGTCCTCTGGCATCAGGATGGTGGAGGCAGCAGGGTGGACTCGGGTCTATGGCTGCTCCGTGACCAACCGACACAGCTGCCTGACACACCCTACACCCCAGGCCAGCCACAACATCACCTCCCCCACACCCCTGCGTTCAGGCTCTGGGGCCCCTTCCTGCCCCCCTAAGGACCCAGCTTGTGTCCCTGCTGCCCTTACACCCCTGGGCTGGTGCAGCATCCTCCCCTGCTCAGGCCCCAGGCCCCTCTCTCATGGAAGCAGGGCCTCCTCGTAAATCTGAGCCACACTTGGTTCCTGAGCAGGCCCCCTCCCGCCAGCCCGCCCTCGAGCCGTCATTTCTGGCAGGCCTTGCAGTGAGCTCACGCATTACATAAGGCATTCGAGCTATTTCTTGGGGGAACGGCTCCCCCTCCGTGGGGCTCCATTTACCCTCACTCTTCTCAACCACCAACTGCCAAGCCAAAGGAGGTCTGGGCATGAAAGGACAGACCCTGTTCAGGGAAGGGGCTGCCCCTGCCCCCGCCTAAGGGGCCCCCAGCCTCCGGAAAACAATGGTATTCGCAACAGAGGGACACATAAGCCCAGATGCCCAGGACAAGCCACCTCAGGGAGCCCAGGGCAGAGATGCAAAAGAAGGAAGGAAGAGGGAGGGGGAAGAGGGAAGTAAGAGCAAGAGGGAGGGGAAGGAAGGAAGCAGCACCCCAGGCTGCCGGGACAGCGTGGGTTCCAGGGCACACCAATGATAGGACAACTTTTGTCTCTGCCACTCATCCCGGAAGGCTCTTGGTCCATCTCAGGACACCTAAGTCCTCTTGGGCCGTCAAGCTCAGTGTTATCAAGTTGGCAACCACGGTCTCCTTTGGGACTCTGAAAAGTGCCCGCTGAGGGAGGGGCCCTCAGGGGCCAAGTTTAAATGCTGATTCCAGTGGCCCAGCCCAGAGGTCCCAGGAATCCTCTCAGGCCTCAGGAAGCAAGGCCCTGCCCCTCAAGCCCCCTGCTGTATTTCTGTGGCCTGGGCTGGCGTAAGGGAACCTGTTAGGGCGCAGCAGCCCCCTGGGAGTGGGGAGCCCAGCTGCAGAGACATGCAAACAGTATGCACTGGACATTTCTGAGTGCTGGGCCCTCTCCCAGCCTGTTCCAGAGGAAAAGCCTGGCTCCTGCAAGGAAGAGGCTGTTTTCCTCACATAGCCACTTTCCTTGCTGCATCAGGGCAGGAAAAGTGCACCTGGGCCCAAGCCAAAGAGCCGCCTCTGTGCCCCCCACCTTGCGGAGGCTGCCTGAGGCCAGAGTTCAGCCTGAAGAAGCAGGAAGCTGAGCTCCTCCAGCAGGCTGGCCACTTCCCCTTTCTGAGGAAGGGACACCCTAGTGGAGCAGCTTTCTATGTCCCAGCAAAGGCCATATGCCTGCAGATGTCCCCTGCTGGGAGCCTGTCTCATACCATACCCTGAGTGGGGGCAATCTCTTTTTAGTACCAGCGACAGCTAGATCACAAGCCTGTGTGCGGCAGAGGCCTGGAAGCACCATGGCTCCCTCTCATTAGTCTCTAGGATGGAGTCTCTGTCCTCGTGAGCAACAAGAACATGTATTCCTCTCTCTTTTCAGACTCTGATTCTTGGAACTTACACCCTCTTGGGTTTGCTATTTTTACCCACCCTGAGCCTTCCGGTCTCCATGGCGACGCCTCCAAACAGCAGATTCCAGGCGGCAATGACGTCACCTTTCCCTTTCCTGCCGCCCAGGCCTCTAGGCGCTGCTGCCTGGGGCCCAGGGGCTGCCCTGTTCTGTGCCCCCTCAGAGCAGCCCTCAGCCAAGACGCCAAGGTCCGCGGGCTACAGCTGAACCTCTCTGCTTCCTGCTGGCCAAGTAGTTGGGGGTCTGGGGGAGAGCCTCCATCCTTCTAAATGCCCCTTGGAGTGGTTCTGCCAGAGCCCCTTGGCAGAGGGCACCAGCCCAGGGGAGGTGACCCAGAAGCAGCCTCCCTCCCACTCTGGGCTCTCTGCCACACCGGCTGCCCTGTTCTACCGAGCTGCCGCAGGCCCTAGTGGCTGGAGAGGAAGGGGCTGGCCGGCGCCAGCCTGCAGTCTGTCTGGCCTGGGAAGCTCCCCATGGCCCCTGCATCAGAAGCCAGTTCCCAAGAGAGGCAGCTACCTCAGCAGGGGGCTGAGGAGCCCACAGACTTGTGGGAAGCTGGAATGGGAAACAGCCTACTAGCTGGCTTGCCAGGAGCTTGCAGGGTGCCCATGTGCATCCAACCCCCTCAAGTGAGGCTGAAAACAGGTCACCCTGCAGGGCCCCATCTCAACCTTAGGTCCTTGCCAGGCGCAAAGACGGCCACATCCCTCCCCACAGCCCAGGTTTCCTGTAGTCAGCCTGCCTCTTCAGGGGCCACCTTTCTCCCAGCTGGGGCCATCTCAGTCCAAACTGAGAGCACGGACACCTGTGATCAAGATAGGGAGGAAGGTATGCTTCCTGCCTTCTGTGTTCTCTGTGGGAAGAGAACATTATGTCTTACTATGGCTCAGACATTCACTGAAAGAACTGAGAAGTCTTTCCGCCTGGGGGCTGTGGATGTGTAGTGAGAGTACTTGCTTAGCATGAAGCCCTGAGTTTGTATCCCCAGCACCTTGTGAAGCCAGCTTGGAGGCAGAAGCCTATAATCTCAGCCCTCAGAAGGTAGAGATAGGAAGATCAGAAGCTCAAGGTTGTGTTTGGCTATATAGTTTGAAGCCAGAAGCCAGTCTGAGCTACTCAAGACCCTGTCTTTAAAAAAAAAAAAAAAAAAAAAAAAGTCTTAAATTTTCCTGAAAGAATGGACAAGCTGGCTTCAAGAACTCTACCTCTCTTTCTGCAGCCAAGGGGACTTTCTCAGTCCAAGAGTCCCACTCACTCCAAACATGCTGCCTACCACCTCCCCTAGGGATGTTGGGTCTCTGTTCCCCAAAACAGGGCTTGCTTTTCCTGTGGCCTGTAGGGTTCTTGTTGACTCATGCCCATCCTTACCACCCAAATCAGGTTTTAGGGTTCAAGTGGCTGGAGAGATGGCTCAGCGGTTAAGAGCACTGGCTGCTCTTCCAGAGGACCCGGGTTAAATTTCTAGCACTCATGTGGCAACTCACTGCTGTCTATAACTCCAGGAGACCCAACACACCCTCACACAGACATACATGCAGGCAAAACACCAATGCACATAAAATGAAAATGAATAAAGGTCACTGAGGGCTGGAGCTGGGGCCCCACTCTGTCCTGCTGAACCCTAATAGGAAAAGACAATCCTCAGAGAGTGAGGGACTGAGACAGAGAACGTGGTTTCTAGGCTCACATTCCTGCCCTCCTGCTTGATTCCAGGAATGAAGTCCCAACTCGCCTCCATCTGACATCGGCAGGCGCAACCACAGGTCCGGGCAGGAGGCAGGCAGGTGGGTGGCTGTCTCCAGAGCCCCACACAGACCTAGTCACCAACCAGCTGTGCAGGGTGTTCAGCTGGGTCTTTCCAGCCAGCCTGGCGCTCGGGAGCCCTGTCCTAAGGCTGTATCCACGGTGAAGTGCTGGGAAAGAGGCCTCTTGAGACAGGATTAGAGAGCCAGTGAGGGTCGGAGTATCTGAGCCAGGTGGCTCCACTCTCAGGAGTGGAGGAGGCTGCTGTAAGGAAGAGCTGTGGCTTGTCTATTAGAGAGACCACTCCAAGCTCCAAAGACTCCTGGGAAGGCGTGAGCAGAGCAGGGAGGCTTCACATTGAGGAAGTCAAGTTCACAGACGAGCAGCTTCCAGGATGAAATAGAGGGCCACACTTCATCAGCCATGTGGGTAACCCCTTCACCTTGGAGCTTTTTATACAAGGCCTCCTGATCATACTGCCCTGTCCAGCTTCTCTTCTACCCTAGGTGCACAACAACCAAGTACTGGCCAGCCTGTTCTACCTGAATCATGGTCTTGAAGGGACATTGATCCTTGGGGTAGACCCTAGGCCAGGTCAGAATGTGGAATCAGGAGAGGGGCTACAGTGATAAGTCTAGAGTGAAAGTCTCACTCCTAGGTTCATCTGACCAATACTCCAAAATAGATGGAGTGAGCATTCTGGGTAGGCAGGATAGCAGATACATAGGCCCTGAGGCAGGAGAGCATTTGGTCCCTGTATGGCTCAGGGGAATGGAAGGCAGGGTGGCAGAAAAAGTGTGAGTTGGGTAGTCAGACAATATAGTTTTACTCCCCGGAAGACCTGGGCCTGAGTGGGCACTAAATTGGACTTCATCCCTAAAGCCATAGTGGACAGGCTGAGTGAGGAGAATGGGAGTCAGGTCCTCATGCCTCACGGTTACTGGGGCTTCCCAGGTACTTGAACCAATACATCCTCATGCATGCTCTTCCCTGTTAGGAAAACCAATGGGGTAATGGAGAAATTATGTGGGGTGGACAAGGCTGTTTTTCCTGAACATTTTGTTCCCGGCTCTGCCCCTAGCTTGGCATAAGGCTGGAATGGGCAGCTAAGGGGAAGGCCTTCATCTGGCCAGCTCAAGCCCCTCTGGGGCCCCTGGCCAGCTCCTCCTACCTTGCCCATGGAACCACTGCTCACCGGCCTGCAGGACCTGCAGAATGGAGAGCCGGGGTTAAGCAAACAGGTGCCTTAGCAACTCAGAGGGGAGGCCGGAGGCTGGAGGAGCCCGGGTGTAGACCCTGGCTCAGGGTGCACCTGGCCTCACAACCAACAGTTTGCAGGGTCTTCACAGGAATGGCATCTGCCTCCACCCAGCACCTTCCAGAGATTAGTCCACTTCCAGGCTGAGTGCTGCCCAGCAAGCCTCCCATTTCCATGAGTAATATTTAACTTGGAAGGGCCCTGGGACAACTGCAGGGGAGAAGTTAATAACAAGTTTGGATTGCAATCTGCTTGCCAGGAGAGGAGGGAGGGAGAGGCATAAAGAGAGGACAAAGTTGAGAGGAAGAAAGGAGGGCAGGAAGCAGGGCATAGAGACAGGGCTCCATGGACCGCTCAAGCCAGGGAATTCAGGGCTGTGGTCTGAGTGTAGCCAAGGGCCCAGGGCCACAGGATCATTTTACCTCAGGAGTGGGGATTCTGAGGCCAACTAGTGGTTAGACACACACTGGACTTGCAGCTGAGCCTGCCAAACCTTAGTTTCCCCTGCAGAAACCACCATGGATTAAAGAGAAGTCTGGGAAGTTAACTCTGGGCACAGACCACCACCACCACCACCACCACCACTACCACCACCACCACCACCAGCACACACACACACACACCCCTGCCTGTAACTCTGAGGCTTCAACACAAGGCTGGAAAAATCCATGAGGCTAGAGCAAAAATGAGTTTCCACCCAGAGGGTGGGGAGTTGGGAAGAGTAAGACCAGAGCTAGGACAGGCTGCTGCAGAGGACCAGCACTGTCAGGGTTGACTGCCACAGACCTGGGCTGTGCAAGGCTATGGCCATGTGCCCTCACTTATCACAGGAAACAGTGCGGATATTCCTGGGGAAAAAAACTGCTGCATTAATGTCTCTGGCACCTGCCTGGCATAACGTACCCCCCAAAACATAGAGGATGAGTGAAAGTTGGAAGCCAGGTCAGGCTGCCATCACATGAGTGTAGGGGGAGGGGAAGGCTGGGCTAGGAGTCAGGAGTGCCAAACTTTTATGACTCCAACCAAACTCCCTGAGAGACCCAGGAGCTCTTTCCTGGCATTGGGGTGCTTTCTTACTCAGAAAAGAGGAAAGAGACCTGTACCATTTTGTAGCCTCCACAAGACCTCAGCTGCTAATGCTGAAGGCCCTTGCCCAGAGGACCAGGGCAGGTTGCCCTGGGTCTCTGGACTGCTTGGGCCTGGACTACCAACCCCAGTTCTTCTAGCAGCCTCAGAATGCCTGTCTCCATCCTACCTCATTATCACATACTCACCTCTATTCCAGAGTGTAGCAAACCTATGTGGGTTTTATTTGTTTGGTTGGTTTTTGTTTTTGTTTTCCTTGTAACAATTTTTTTCCTTCTAGCAATTTTTTTTTCAAGACCGGGTTTCTCTGTGTAGCCCTGGCTATCCTGAAACTCACTCTGTAGACCAGGCTGGCCTTGAACTCAGAGATCCACCTGCCTCTGCCTCCCGAGCGCACTGAAGTCTCCAGCCCTATACCTACGCTTTTGAACGGTATTGTTTTTCAATGATGTGTACTTTCATAGGGAGAATGATTCTTTCCCCACAACCTTGGGAGTCTGTGATTTGTCACTGGCTGTTGGGTACATGATTAGAGTAGAAACCGCATCTTTACTCAGGCAGGACACACTCTGAGACACTTCTGGAGCCTCGGTGTGACAAAGTCACACCCACAGGTGGGAGATGCCCTTGTGACTCCTTTACCACTGCCCTCTGCAACAGTTTGTTTCCGAAAGTTGAACTGTTCTGTTTTCAACTCCACAGCCTGGGATGGCTACATCTCAGTCACAGCTTTCCAATTCATGAGAGCAGAACCTCCCTGGGCCTGAAAAGGGCTGGACAAATAAAGCCTTTCCCCTCAAAGGAGGCTTTTGATTCGCCGGTCTTCAGGATAGGGTCTCCCAGGGCCCTTCTTCATCCTTCACACTTTATTTCTCAAGGGGAAAATTAGCCACTACCTCCACATCACACACACATGGAGGAATAAAACCCAGGGTAGGTGGGCTGCAGGCCTGGGGCTTCTGTAGTCCTGAACAGAGCCCTCGACACATTAATGTGGCACTTCTAGGGACAGAGAGACACACCCATGGCATCCATGCAGTAGAACGAGTCCACACAGAAGACCATTTATACCCCAGTGGGAGCCCCTCATCTTGCAGGTCTGTAGAGAGTACCGGCCTTCTAGTTGATGGTCACTTAGTGCCAGCCCTGATGACTAAGCCCTTGAAATATGTCCAAATTCAGGCCAACGTGAATTTCACTCTACATGCAAAACACACTGTATTCTCAAAACCTAGGGAGAACAAAAGCATGCATTAAAAACAGGCTTATAATTTGTATACTGGTCGCTTCCACATCAGATACTATGTTCAACGTGCACACCATAATTGATGTTAACCTCACCTACCTCCTTTTATTTCTATAGGTGGCTGTACTAAAATTAACATGACCTATGTGTGCTTTCCGTTTCTACTGTGCAAGGTGTCTTGGGATCGCTTCTGATTGGGAAGTGTCCGAGCAAGAAGACGTCAGACTCAGGTGTTGGACCTGAAGGAACTTAGAGCTGTGAAGTCTTACAGTATGGTGAACTGCCCCATCTGGTGCTCCCAGGCCCGCAGGGATCCACACTGTTGAGGAAGGGTGGGGTATGGGAGAGGTGAGGTATGGGAGGTGCTGGAGAGGAGCGAGGTGTGGGAGGCAGCAGATGGACCGAAGGCTGGGAGTGAGTGCAGGTCGCAGGAGAGGTTGACTGGGGTGCAAAACCTGGCCAGTCAACAGAAGGCAGCACCGGCAGGTGACCACGGATAGAGGCTGGCCAAGGCTGCCCTGCTCAGTGCCTCTTTCCGTTAGTGCGCACCCTGCAGGGTTCCCCAGGCCATTTTAGCTGCTAGTCCAGAAAACTCTGGGCAGTGGGAAGAAGGCAGTGAGTAGGCCTTCACACCTGCTGAGTGCCCACCAACTTCTGGTCACACAGTGGGCAGACCCTGGAGAGAAGGTGGGACCCCCTGAAGTCCTGGGTACTCAGGATTACTAAGTCCCTGATCACATGACCTAGGGCTCTTCCCTGATGCTCCCATCTCCTGTACCCAGGTGAACTCATTGTGTAAAGAAACTATTTCATTTGGGCGATGGTGGCACACACCTTTAATCCCAGAACTTGGGAGGCAGAGGCAGGTGGATCTCTGTGAGTCTGAGGCCAACCTGGTCTACAAAGCAAATTCCAGGACAGCCAGAGCTCTGTTACATAGAGAAACCCTGTCTTGAAAAATCAAATGAAAAAGGGGGGAAACAGGAGCTGATTGTCCCCAAGGAATGGGGTCCCTTCAAAGAGGTAAGCAGAGGATACGCAAGGGCGGTTTCCACAAGCTCATTCAGTATGTGCCAGGACCCAGCAAGGGACCACAGCACTGGCAGAATTAATGGCATGCCAAGCACTCAGGCTTGGGGACACTGAAGGACACCAGCCCGTGACCTGGCTGCAGAGGTGGTGGACTGTGAACATTTGGGGTTGCTTAGTTTGGCTGTCTGTGGAGATGACAAGGGGTGGCTAGGCTTGAGAGCACAGGGTCTTCCACAACCTGAAAGGCAGCTCATAAAACATGTAAGGAGTCCAGATGGCAGGATTCAGCCACACAGGCTACCTAGCCTTGTAGTTAGGGTTTCTATTGCCATGACAAAACACCATGTCCAAAAGCAACTTGGGAAGGAAAGGATTTCTTTCACTTTACCGCTTGTGGCCCATCATCCAGGTAAGTCAGAGTAGGAACTCAGGGCAGCAACACAGAGACAAAACTAAAGCAGGAATCATGGAAGAACACTGCTCACTGGTCTGCTCCTTATGGCCTGCTCAGTCTTTCTAACAGCATCGAGGACCACCAGCCCAGGGGTGGATCTGCCCACAGTGAGCTGGGCCCTCCCACATCAATCATCAATTTAAAAAAATGTCTCATAGGTTGCCTACCTGGTGGGGGCATTTTCCCAATTGAGGTTCTTCTCTTCCCAAATGACTCTAGCTGATGTCAAGTTGACCTAAAATTAGCCAGAACACCTTGGCTGGATCTTCTAGAATGGAGACTCTATCCTTAGGGGCTAGAGAGAGCCACTTCACCATCCAACAGGACATCACTCATCACTAATAAGCTGGGAAGACCTGGCTTCATTGCCAGCTTGGCCAGTTACGGTCATGTGTCCTGTGACATTTGGTGCATGCCTTGGGCCTCAGTTGGACTCATCATTCCACAGTACCTCTATCACACATAGGTCATGGAAAATACACATAGGTCATGTTAAATCACAAGGTTGGATGTGGTGGGGAACAGTGGTTCTTTGGAAGAGGGCCACATGGCTGTGGTGAGGGTTGAGATCCCAGGGGACAAGGCATATAGGAGGTGGCTCAGGTCCCAGATGCAGACTCTTACTTGTTGCTATTTTGAGGAATTAGGGTACTGCCCCTACCTCCATCCCAGGCAAACTCTTAGGGCACAGGCCAGCTCTAAATTTGGAAGATGAGGGACTGCTCATATCCAAGCAGTCCATCATCGCTGAAGGGGTGAGCAGGTTAGCATCAGATTTACCTGAGAGAGAACAGCCATGCTGAATGGAGCTGACTACAAAGAAGGGTTATCTACACAGGCCATGGCTGCCATGAACCCCTGACTCAGCCATGTCAGTCAGTCACTCTGACATCGGTCAAGTCAGAGTGGCCTTAAGTGCAGAGATCTGTGATGAGAACTGGCCTTGCCACAGAACAGCCCACGGAAGAAAAGGAAGCAGTAGAGTGGAAGGCAGGGCTGCTCCGTGTGCCGTCACGGGTGGCTGCTTGCTGCCCTCTAGGGTGTATTTGGACTCCATTCTGGGCTGTATGTTGGTAGCAGTTGTGAGATGGGGTGATAGATTCAGCCAGGTATCAGGGCACCACTCTCTGTGGACAGACAGCCCCTGAGGTCCTAATGATCTTTGGCTGACCTCTGAGGGGAAGGTCCACGTCTCGTGAGAAGAGGGAGGGCATCAGCAGAGCCCTGTTATTTACTCCACTGAGGGTTACGCATAGTCCCTACCCAGCTCCACACGGGAGGCCCCTAGAGAGGGGGACAAAAGCTATCTTACACAGAAGTGGGGTGACACAGACCTGACACGCTCGGTGCTGGGCTTTCAGAGTGGCACCTGGAGAGCAAGCTGGGAGACGGACCTCGTTGGGCACCAGGGAAGAGATGTGGCTAGGAGCAAGCAGGAGAGTATCTGGGATCAAGATCTGGGAGTCACACGGTGCTCAGGTTTACTGGGACAGCCCTAACTAAGCCTGCTTCTCCAAACAGTCTACAAGGAGCACAAAGGTGGGGAAATATAAACATGTGGGCCAAGTGGCTGGGGAGATTGTTCAATCGGAAAAGTACTTGCTGTACAAGCATGAAAGGACCCGAGTTTGATCCCCAAAACCCATCTAAAAAGATAGGCACATTTGTAATGCCAGCACTGGGGAGGCAGAGACAGCTGGATTCTCTGGGTTCACTGGCCAGCCTAACTGGCAAACTCAGTCCCATTGTCTCAGAAAATAAGATGGGCAGCTGCTGAGTTACTGTAATTGACCCCAACCTTGACAAGCACATACACACACGTAACCCATACACACAGTTATGAATGCACACACACACATTAGTTGAACCAAATACAGTTTTTTTTTTTTTTCTATAACATACACTTCTTCCAGGTGAGCAAACACAAGACAGTCTCCCAGGCAGTACCTTCTCAAATTCCTGCTCACTGTATTCTGGTTTCTTCTAGAAAGTGCTGTGAAGCCCAGAGAAGTTGCTCTTGTCCTTGTATCCCTGGACCTCAGGAGCCTGAGCTGTGTGCCGGGTCTGGATGGCCCACCTGCTTGATTTTCCAGTGCCAGGAGTATCCAGGGTGTTTACATGGTGCCATGGGAAGGACTCTGAGCCATTCAAAGTCAAACTGTATGGTAGGGTGCAGCTCAGCAACAGAGCACTCAGCTAGCATACCTTTGGTTCCGTCTCCAGGGGCACAGGGAGGGGAAAAAATCAACAACAACAAAAAAGAAAGTTAAAAGTGTAGCCCGTCATAGCCTGAAACTAATGGCTGTGATAAACAACCCCCATGATTTGTGTACTTCAGACACTGTTGGAAACCTGAACCCCACCTGGCTGAGGGGGCCAGAAGCTTAAGGGACCTCCAGCATCTGGGTCAAGGGCCTTCCCATGAGCAGGTTTCCTGTAAACGCTGTTGGATACGGGTCAAGGCTGACTCTGTGGGAGCTGAAAAGCCACAGCCTCCCTGGGGAGTCCCCTGGGCCTCCCACTCACCCCATACACCAGGAGAGCTTGGTTTCTGCTTGAGTCGTTGTCTCCACAGGAGGGGCCCCAAGTTTCCCCCCTCTGCCGCCCCTGCTCGCTCGGGTTCTGTCCCTGTCTCTGCTGTGCCTGTGGTCCTGCGGTCCCTCTGAAGCTCTGGACGTGGCTGGGGCACAGTGTACAGGACTGCCCTCTGGAAATTACCCTACCGTTTGTGCTTCAGAAGAACCTAGAAGGGCATCAGCGGGCAGGGCTGGGAGGCTTCACATGAAGGCTGGGCCTTAGGGCTGCAGGAGCCTAGCCTCCTGGGGAAAGAGCCAACAAAGTCACAGGCCCTGGACTGAACATGAGCTGAGCCAGAAGAGGGTTTGCAAAAGTATGTCAGAAGGACCACTGTGAACAGACAGAAGTGGCCAGGTGGAAATGTTGGCCAGAAGGGTGGCCCAAAGGTGAGAGCTGAAACAGGGCAAGGTCCCTTCCTCCAGTGCCCTCTCTCCCAGTGTCCCGTGGCTTTTTGGGTTAGGTTGCCCCATCCTTGGCTTTGGCCCGATGACCATGCGCAGGTCTGGCCATGATCCCCAACTGGAGGCATGAGGAGGTACCAAAAGGGAGCTGCAATGTCTGAGCCTCCCCCTCCCCCGCACACCCTTGCCCCCACACCCCATGTGCGGGCCTGAACAACCACTCTGCTGCCTGACGGATCCTGCGATGTTTCCCAGGCAACTGTCTCATACAGCCTGTCTGCCTGGCACTCCCACACCCCATAAATGCCGCCGCGCCTGGCTCCAGGCAGCCTTGCCTGCTTGGCATCTACAGGCCAGCAGGTGTGGAGAATGTAGCCCGCTGCCTGGCTGTGTCATAAGGCCACTTAGGCAGAGGAGGCAGCCCAGGCCTCTTGGACATCCTCACACAGCCAGTGAATATTGCTGGGATACCCCACGTAGATGTCCTGATGTTCTGCCACACAGTAAGATTGAGGATAGCTGAGTGCCATGACCATGCACCCAGGCGCTCCTGCCTACCACAGGTCCCTCTTGAAAAGTGGAGCCTGTGCTCCTTGCCTGGCTTGGGCAGATGCTGTCATGATCCATTTGTCGGGTAAACTGATGGTAAACCCAGTTTCCAAGAAGGCAAGGGGAGTATAGGGAGCCAAGCAGGACTTGGACTACCCCAACAGCTGAAGACTGGGGTCTGATGGACAGATTCACCTAGTCCAGCGGCTGAAAAGCTCCTGTTGGTGGCAGAGATCAATCATGGGGCCAGCCTTGCTAGTGAGAAGTTAGGACCCTGTTAACACCACCCTGAGGACACACCAACCTAGCTTTGGAGGTGGAGGGAGGGTAGACCCCCAAAAATATGGTCTAATGGTGACAAAGCCCAAGAGAAGGAGGTGGCTCCCAACCTGGAGCACTCTGTGGATGCAGGAGGCCCCATTGCTTTCCACACTGGAGTACATTCCGCTTCACCTATGTGTCTCCTCCAAAGGGCTGAAATATTCCTTTGTAAATGTGAATTTTGCCTCAAAACCAAGTTGTTCCTGCAGTGCAAGGGTCAGTCCCGACCAGAATTTATTTTCCAATAAAGTTAATTCCTTGTCACCACAGCACATGGCTCCAGGAGAGTGGATCTTTTCATCAAATTCAACTTCTACTTTTTAATTATTATTTTTAAAGCCCCTCCCCTCTGCGGTGTGAGGGTAGACACACACACCATAGTGCAAGTGTGGCGATCAGAGGACAGCCTCTGCTGCTGGTCCTCACCGTCCACCTTTTTTGGCACTGTGTACACAAGGCTAGCTGGCCCAAGCTTCAGGGGGTTCTCCGTCCCCGTGCCCCATCTCACGGCAGCACTGGGATTAAAGCTTGTGCCTGGCTTCAAGTGTGTTGAGAGTGAACTGGGTTCTCATCCTTGCACAACGAACACTTTCCCCACCACACTGTCTCCCCAGCCCAAAGCCAAGTTTTTGTTTTGTTTTATTTTTTTTGAGACAGGGGCTTTCTACATAGCCCTGGCTGTTCTGGAACTCACAGGCTGGCCCTGAACTCACAGAGATCTGCCTGCTTCTGCTTCCTGAGTGCTGGGATTACAGGCGTGTGCCACCACCGCCCAAATTCAACTTTTAAAGTCTGTTGTGATAATACTTTGCAGACAGTTGGCACAAGGCAGGTTTGTTGGGGTTGCCCATCACCCCTATTTCTTAAGGTTCTAAAAATGGTTGGATTGGGCCTAGAGAGATGACTTAGTGGTGAAGAGCACTTGCCACTCTTGCAAAGAACTCGGGTTCATTTCCCAGCACCCACATGGTAGCTTGTAGGGCAGTTACCCACCAACCCCACAGCTCCCCAGAGTTTTCTTGAGTGAGAGCAGCAGGAAATATTAGTTAGAAGGATTTAGATTGCGGAAATAAACAGATAGAAAATACAGGATAGCCTTGAGAGGGCCTGGAACCCATTCCAATGGGCCCTGACTGTCTCTGCCCTAGGGTATTTATAGAAATGCCAAGGGGTGAAGCAAAAGACCTCCCCCCAGCACAGACAAGTACAGACCAATCTCAGACACCTGCACTCAGGCCTGTGGTCCTAGTCATCCTCTCTATGCAGATCTGCTGGGTAAAGCCACTAGAAACCTGAAAATGGGCTCCCACAGCAGCTTACAACTAACTCCAGTTCTTCCCACCTCTGTGGGCACCAGACACACTTGGCATACACAAGGCCTCTGGTCTGGCACCCTCACGGTGGCAATGAGGGAAGAGAGACAATCCTGAGAATGAAGCAAAGTCCCAGAAGAACAGCATTCACACTTGCTTGAGAGTCCTAAGCCTGGAGAACCTGTGTTCTGCAGCTGGCGCAGACTTTCTTGGGCTCAGTGCCCCTTTCTTACGACAGCCAAAAGATAATGGAATATCCTCACGTTCTGTGCCCTAAGAGCATGCACCTCCTTAGCCTCAAGGTACTTGAAGAGAGAACTCCTTCAGGAGCCCACAGCTTTGGAGTAAGTCTGCCTGAGTAGCCACACAGGCTCTGGCTCTGCTTCGCTGTGAGCTCTGGGGTCAAGTGGCTACAGCACCTGTATAGGCAGCCAGGGCATCCGACCTCTGTAGAGGAGGGGTACGGGAGAGGCTGGCATGCTGGAGATCTCAGCAAAGTCCCTGTGCTCTGGTTTTAGCATGTGGCTGAACTGAGCCTTCTTGCCCACACAGGGCCCTTTCAGCACTTGGCTAGGTACCCTCCTCAGGCCTTCCTCCTGCTTGGGAGTTGGTGCCAGACCTCCTAGAGTCCTCAAGGTCCCCTGCAAAAATACAGTTACACTTTCAGCAAAAGCCCAGGAGCCAGGCCAGTGGAGACTAGGGACAGGCTGATTGGGAGTGTTCCATCAGTAAGCTCTTCTTAGTCCTGGGACTCATCACAACTGCCTTCCCACCTGGGTGGCCCAGTCCCAGGTCACCCCTGACAGTGCAGCATGAGCCTACCCCACCCTGGCAGCTCCTGCATGGGCAGCTCCTTGGCTGCACCTTTGGCCCTCACTCTGGGTTCTTCAGCCTAGGACAGGCAGGTTCCCAAGATGGCCACTCTCCAAAAGACCTCAAGGCAGAACAGACCCTGGTGTGTGCTCTGGGATCCTTTGGAGATTAAACTTCTCATCCTCTTCAAGTCTGCAGAGATAAAAGACAATCTCAGTCCAGAATCCATCCCCAGACCCTGACCTGGACACAACTACCAGGCTAGACCACACACGGTGGGGGTGACCTCGCCTAGGGATGAGAGGCAAGGTTCTGACGGGAGGAGGACCTAGGGAGAGGGGTCAGGGAGTCAGATGGTGGCAGGACGGTCTTTTGAAACAGCCCTAACCCCTGGGGGCTGTGGAGAAATAGAAAGCCACTAGTGAACGCCAATACATATACTAAAGTGCCTGGGCGTCTGCTGCCACCAAGTGACGGGCTGCAGGATTGCAGGGCGGGTTTATTGGCTAGACAGGAAGCACGGGTTTCCGAGCTTCGTCCCCTGGGCTTTGCGGCTTCGTTCCTCTCTTTGGTAAAGAAACCCAGTTCCTCCTATAAGAAGAAAATGGTGTAAAGTTGGATTTGGAAGTCCTGTCCATGGACATCCTGGGGAAGGCTGAAGAACTGGAAACTGAGGCAGAGCATTGTCTAGTACCGCTGGGAGGCGGCATTGGCAGGGCAAGCCTGACAGCTAATCTGCACGTGTTAACACAAGGGAACACAGGCTCCAGAGCTGCCTGCACAGGGTCGGGTGGGCCCAGTCTCGTACCCATGAAAGCCTCTCCCTCAAGGCGGCAGCCTAGTGTCCCCAAAGATTAGGATCCCTGCGCCTTAGTTTTCAAGTGTCACAAAGGGGAGATGGCACTTGGCAGAGTGGGGTAGTGAGGGTACTGGAGGCCACACGGGAGCTGGTCCGGGTCGGAGGGCGGGTCGGGTGGTATGTCTCACTTCCGCCGGACGCTTTGGGGAGAAGGATGGAGGAGGAGCGGAGGCTGCGGGGGAGGCTGAGCCGCCGCAGGCCGCCTGCAGGGGGCGGGTGAGGCGGGATGGAACGGAGAGGGTGGGGGCGCTGGGGCCGCGGGGAGACAATGGGGGTACCTCGACTTTCCCGTCTAGGTGCGGGGTTCCTCGCACACTTGCACCCCGCAACTGTGAGGCCTGCTACCAGAAAGGCTCCGCCTTTCTCCGGGCGCGGTCGCTTCTTCCGCCCCAACCCTGCGGTTTCCCCCACCTCCTCCACCCCTCTTTCCGTCGCCTATCTAGCCTCTCCCTGCTCAGCCCCATGCTCCATTGTTCCCTAGAGCCCACTTACCCTCCAGCGTGAACCGCACGCTTGATCCCCTACTTCGGGCTCCCTCCCTCCCTTACTCCACTGTCGACTCCTTCTCCACTTCCCCAGAGTCTTGCCGCCCCTCACTGTAGAGCCCCTGTGACCTCCCTTGTGAGACCTCTTTCTCGGGACACTCTACCATGGATCCACTGGCTGACACTTCCTATGCTTCCCAGGGCCCCCAGCTGCCGCCCCTGGTTCCTCATGGAGGACAGTAAGAATGAGCCGTGGGCTGCTCTCCTGCGCAGCACTGTGAGCGGGGACGTGGATCTGACCCCGAACGGTCAGCCGTTGCCGCCACTGCCTGCTTTTTCCAGCCAGGTGTGTCCAGAAGCACTAATGGGGAATGGCCTGGGAGAGGATTCCCCGGGACGCTGGGGGAGGTCATGGTGTTGGTGGCTATTATCTCATGGGCATCTGCTTTTTAGGAGTCTCTGCCTGACCCAGAGCCCGCTGTGCCTCCTGGGGTCTTCACTGTGGGATCCAAAACTTTTTCCTGGACGCCTTTTCCACCTGCCCTTGGTGGCTCTGGAAACTCCTACCAATTGTTCCATGGGCCTGGAGGCTCCCTGGGGTCACCTATTCCATCCTTGAAAAGATGTCCTGCACCAGATTCCCATCAGACTCCCAGCCCCCAAGAGTGTGTGTCTGTGCAGAGTACACCTGTGTTGCTGAGCTGTCCATTGTGCCAGAAGGCATTTGATCCGACGTGAGTTTTCCATCCCAGACCTCAAGCTTAAGACTTAGTCCGTTGTAAAACCTACTCCTAAGAGAGTGCGTGCCTAGACGTGGCTCTGGCCTTTTGTTTATTTAACTAATTTTGTTGTTGTTGTTTTGAGACAGGGTTTCTCTGTGTAGCGCGCTGTCCTGGAATTTGCTCTGTACATCAGGCTAGCCTCAGACTCACAGAGATCTGCCTGCTTCTGCCTCCCAAGTGCTGGGATTAAAGGCGTGGACCACTACTGCCTGGTTTATTTAACTAATATTTAAATTAAAATGTGTGTGTGCACGCGTGCGTGTGCGCGCCATGCGTGTGGAGGTCAGAGGAAAAGTTGAGGTCTGTTCTCACCTTTCACCGTATGAATCCTAGGGATTGAATTTAGGTACTCGGGATTGGCAACAGGTGCCTTTACCTGCTGAGCCTCCTGATAGCCTTTTTGTTGCTGTTTTGACTCTCAGTGATGCTCTTGCTTCGGCCTCCCAACGTGCTGGGATCTCAAGACTGCACCACCACATTTGGTTAGCTTTGGCTACTTAAAATGATACAGGAACTTGAAGAACTTGAGCCCACTGTTGCTGGGCTCAAGGGCAGTGTGTTTTAGATGGTGTGTAGCTGGTGCACATGTATCCTATGTGTTGAAGTAGAAATGGCCTGGGGAGGGCATGGATTCTCCAAAGTTAGCTGCTAAGATGACAAAACCGGAAGTGAAGCAGAGTTAGCCTGATTAAATGGTTACCAGAGGATAACGCAGCTGGAGCCCTAGTTCAGAGCCCAACAGGCCCCTCCAAATATTGTTTAAAAGAATTTGTGCTGAGCTGGGAGTGGAGGTCCACACCTCTAATCTCAGCACTCAGGAGGCAGAATCTGTGAGTTCGAGGCCAGGCTAGTCTACATAGTGAGTTCTAGAACAGCCAGTGCTATGTAGGCCCTGTCTCAAAACAAAACAAAATGTGCTTATTATTGTTTGTGTGATATATGTATATGTTCATGTAGGTTTGTGTACAGAGGTAGGTGCCCATGCATGTGGAGGCCCGGTCAAGTGGTTTTCTTGATCACGTCCCACCTTATGTTTTGAGACAGAGTCTCTCACTGAACCAAACATTGATTTGGCTAGGCTGGCTGGCCAATGAGCTCCCATCTCTCTGGCCACCTCCAGTGCATGGGTTCCGTATGCATGCTGCCAGTGCTTGCCTTTTCTGTGGGTAATGTTTGCACAGCAGGAACAATGGAACCATTTATCAATGGAACCATTTCCAAAGACTCCAAAATGTGGCTTTTTTTTTTTATCAGAATCAAGCTTTTATGAATTTGAGAGGAGCCCCAATCCCAACCCTCAGCAACAACTATCTCTACTCACAGCCACATAGCTCAGACAAAGTGATGTTAAGTGTGGGCTGGCTTGAGTGAGGTTGTGGTTGTCCCCAAGTGGGGTCCTGTTTATGTGACCTTGAATGTACTGTAAAGTTGACATTTCCATGCTTCTCACCTATCAAGAGACCCAGGGGCAGAAGCTGGGGTTCCCACTCCCCTCTTGTTCCAGGGGCTTTTTGTGCTGTCCTTGCATGAAAAGACTCCTGAAGACAGGGTTATTGAAGATGGAAGCTCTGCCCGTTGGGTGCCTTTCAAGTGGCTGTATCAGACTTGGCAAAGTGCCTTTACTTTTCCAAAGTAGGTATGAGCAAGGTAGGCTTAAGTCTGTAGTGACGTGTTCTTACATTGAACTGTAGAGGAGCTAGGATGTATTTGGCCAGACTCACCCCTTGAGGTGGCAGCCACATCATCAGGGCTGGCTGGGGGGAACTCTTTCCATGCCCTTAAAGGAGCTCCCTTTCATTCCTGCCCCAAGGCAGGAAGTTCTGGGTCTTAGATGGCAGGGATGGATGTTGTCACGAAAGGCAGGACCCAAGCAGGGAGGCAGACTGGCCTTGGACAGGTCATTTTGGTAGCTAGACCCAGACTGAGCTGTCAGTATTGTCCTCTGAGGGCAGTGTGTGCAAACATTGCTGCCCACCCACGCTGGCACAGGGGAGCTGGGGACGCCCCTCAGGGAGGACCACACCATTCCTTCTTTCCTGTAGCACCGTCTGAGCCCAGTGCAGCACTGTTTGATTCCTAAATGTGACAGGTATTAAATACTAGGCTGACATGCATACAGTGTTCTTTGTCCCTAGATCTTGCTGCTATATTCAAATACTTCATACAGATATCTCTCACTACTGGGGACTGAGTCCAGTGCTCCCAGTGTATCTGTCTGTAGATGCTCCTCTTTTTTTTTTTCTTTGGGTTTTCAAGACAGGGTTTCTCTGTGTAACAGTCCTGGCTGTCCTGGAACACTCTTTTTTTGGGCCAGGCTGGCCTCGAACTCACTGAGCTCCACTTGCCTCTGCCTCCCAAGTGCTGGGATTAAAGGCATGCGCCACCACTGCCTGGCTTTTTTTTTTTTTTTTTTTTTTTTTTTTACCTAAAACAGTTGTTACTGGGCTAGAGAGATGGCTCAGTGGTTGGGAGCCCTGACTGCTCTTCCAGAGGACCCGGGTTCAACTCCTAGCACCCACATGGCAGCTCAAGGCTGTCTGTGATACCAGTTCCGGGGACCCGACACCCATGGCAAAAACACCAATGCACATAAAATGAAAATAAAAAAAAAACCAACAACAGTTGTTACTTCATAAACCCTACATAGCTAGGCTTTATATAAGCAGCTGTTACTCTATATTGCTTAGGGAATAATCACAAGGGCAAGTCTGTTTACATTTAGTACAGTCACCAATTTTTAAAGTACTTTTTATCTGCGGTTGTTTGAATCTGCAGATGTAGGACCCACAGATAGGGAAACTGCTGTGTTTTCTGATATCTATGTGTCAGATAGGCAACTGGTAAGACAGTCCATTAGCTGGGGATGCCAAAACCCTTCCTTGGTCTTTACTGATACAGTGATATCTGGTGGTTGTGATTGTCTGTCTGTCTGTCTGTCTGTCTCTGTCTCTGTCTCTGTCTCTGTCTTGTGTATGTGTGTGTGTGTGTGTGTTCCTGACCTTTATTTTAATATGTAACCTAGGCCTTGAATATCTGAGGCCAAACAGTCTTCTTGCTCAGCCTTCAGAGTAGCTGAGATGACAGGTGTGTGCCATGCCTAGCTCTTGGTCATGACTCTAATAGTTTATTCATATTCAGATTCTGGGGCTGAAGTCCCCGAATCCATGTTGGTTAGCCATGGCCAGGGCTCAACTGTGTCTGGGAGTTAGCAGAAGCCTGGCAGTGCAATGAGTTCTACAGAAACAGCTCTTTTGTTGTGGGGTGGCATCTGGAGGAATCCCTGAGAACCCACTTGAGGGCTGCTGCCTGAAAACTCCCAACAGATGGCCAGAGATCCATACAGAACCTTGAGGTGTCTTGCAGAAAAAGTGTTAATATCTTGGTTAGATTGGCTAAGGGGTTCTCAGAGACTTCAGAGACCATTTGTTGGGGACTGCCAAGTTAGAGAGCCATTGAAAATCACAGGCCCTGGGAATCAAGTGAGGGGCTGTGCTGTCCGGGGAGTTCTGTTCCCATTCTGGTCATTGACCTGGGTATGGGTCAACTAGGATGCAGTGAACAAGCCAAGGCCTAGGATGCCTGGGAGGGCAGGTAATGGGCATCTGGTTGGGCAGCAGATGTCCAGAGGATTCTCAGGACTTGTGAGTTTCACCTCAGGACTTCTGTTGGTAAGTTCACCAGCCTCAGCACATACAAGGTGAGCTGGCTGCTAGGAGAGACACAGGGCACTGTGATGAGTCACAGGGGTTCAGGGTTTGTGCTTCATTGGGAGATGGCGGCCCTGATCTAACAGGCTTTGATAGGACCGTCTGACATTGGTCTGGAGAAGGGGACTCACTGGTCATGTGCATTGGGTTCAGGAGCTGTAGGGAGGAGTGACGAAAGGCAGCGTCTGAGGGAGAAGTAGTGCTTGGTGGATTGCTGTCTGAGGATGGAAGGCTGTGGGGTGCCAGGAAGGAAGCAGGGCCCTGTGAGCAGAGAGACCAATGTTTGCCAGTCTCCTGGTGGTGAAATGTAAGAGATGGCCACTATAATAGGTTGGTGGCCACATGGCCTCCATCAAGTCCTGGGCTGCTGAACATTGTCCTGGCAGCTCTACTGACCACTCTAGCTAGGTCACCTCCTCACCTCCTCCCTTCCTCCCTCTGATGGCCGGATGAAGTTAGGTGGAAGGCCAGTCCATGCACTACCCTTCTTCTCTGGCCGTGATACCCTTCCCAGGGCCATTGGCACAGGACTTTTGAGGTACAGGTGCTATGTGGGCATTCCAGAAATGTAGGGCCAGAGGCCAGATGACTGAATCTTACATGATGGGGCTTGGTCTTTCCACATCAAGAAAACAATCCCCTCTCTGAGTTTGAGGCCAGCCTGGTCAACATAGTGAGTTTCAAGACAGCCAGGGCTATACAGGAGACCCTCTGTCAAACAGACAGACAGACAACCTCCCCGCAACTCCCCAAAAGAAAGCATTCCCTCCTGGGTGTGATGTTTGCCTCTTGGAGGATGGTAGGTGGCTGTCCTGGAGTAACTCTTACCTTCATGTTTATTTCTTCTGGGCAGCCTAGTGAGTTGGACGTTCATGAGAACTGCCCTTTGTACTGGCTGATGGACGTTCCTGGTAGGCTTGTCCAGCCCGTAAGCCTGACCTGCTATAGACAGGCGTGGGGCTTGAGGAGGGCCTGCACTGGATCTCTGGAGCCAGGAAGCTCTAGCTTCCCTGCTGATCTCTGCCTGGGATGGGCTTTTTGTTTTTTGAAACATGGTCTCACTACGTAGCCCTGGCTGCCCTGGAATTCACTGTGTAGACCAAGCTGGTTTTGTACTCACAGAAGTCTGCCTGCCTCTGCCTCCTGAGTGGTGAGATTAAAGGCGTGCGCCATCATGTCTAGCTTTTTTTTTTTTTAACTTAATTTACCGTCTGTGTGTGTGTGCGCGCACACACATGTGTACACATACCACAGTGAGTCATAAGGAAACTTTCAGGAGTTGGTTCTTTTATCATGTGGGGTCCAGAGACTGAACTTGGGTCATCAGGTTTGGCAGCAAGCGCTGAAGTCACTGAGCCATCTTGCTGGCCCCAGGAAGTCTTTGGGGCTAGCTTTTGGCATGGTCCAGGATGAGTGAGCCAACAGATGAGGTTGGAGCTTCATGACACTGGTCAGGGTGGGAGTCTGCAGGACTAAGAATCCTTGGTGTAAAAAAGGGTTCTCAGGCAACAGGGAAGGCCTAGCTTAACCCACTGAGGTCATGGTGAACCCTGCTTACTGTGTCCTCCAACTGACAGCTATGGAAGAGTTCCGGACTCTTCTCAGGGCTTAGAAATATGTGGAATTACCCCTTTCTGTGGCCAGCATTCTCCCAGGAGCCTGGTGACTGTTTCCTCTCCCTTGCAGGCTGGCCCAGCTGGATGTGGATAGCCACCTTGCTCAGTGCTTGGCTGAAAGCACAGAAGACATGGTGTGGTGAGCTGCAGGATGCCTCTCCTGTCCCCTCCTTCCAGCACACACACTGACATGGGGATGTGACTGCTGAGATGTCTTCGTGTGGTGCCAACGTCAGTAGGTCCTCTGTGATGGCTCCTTTCTTGTCAACTTAACTGGGTTTGGAATCACCTGAGAGACAGACCTCAGGGTGTGTCTGTGAAGCTGTTTCGAGAGATTAATTGAGAAAGGAAGACCTACCTTGAATGTGGGTGGTACCATCCTGTGGCCTGGGGTCTCACTGAATGAAAAGGAGAAATTGAGCTGCTTCCTGACTGGGGATGTGATGTGTTTCTCACCTGTCACCACAGCTACAGCTGCTTTTGCTACTGTAACGTCAGCCGTGAGCCAGAATCCATCTTAAGTTGCTTTGATCAAGTATTTTGTCATAGCAGGGAGAACCCCACCCAAGCAAGTGAGCCAGGGTCTGTCACAAGACAGAACGGGGATCTCTACCCAAGTCAGCGTTTGTACACAGGCTGGCACCTTCTCCTGACTGCACGAGCAATATACTGGATTACACTTCACAGACATTAAAAAAAAAAAAAAGGCAATTATATGTATTTGTATGTGTCTGTGTTGGGGGCTTTGTGCATGTGAATGCAATTGCCCATAAAGGCCAGAGGAGGGTATCAGATTCCCTGGAGCTGTAGTTATAGGCAGCTTTGAACTTCTGGGAACCAAACTTGGGTCCTTTGCAAGACGATGATGTGGAGATGGAGCCCTTGGGAGGTGACAGGTCATGAAGGTGAAGCTTCCTCAAGGGGATTAATGTTATGTACTGAAGGGGCCTTGAGAGACAGGAACCTCAGGACATAGCAAAATGCCTGTCCCTAGTGTCCACATGGACGTCACCAGAACTGTTGGCTCCTTGGTTTCCAGGACTAAGATAGAAGTATGTTATCTACCTAGGCTGGGGAGTGTCTTGGTGGTATAGCATTTGCTCAGCCTGAACCAACCCCTGGATCTAGCCAGATACTGGGGCAAGGAATGTGTCCTGGCAACTAGAGCTGACTTGCACAGCGTGTAGAGTCTCTGCAACCTTACCGCTAAGGGGTGGGGCTCAAAGCCATTTCACTGCACATTTCAGTTTGGGTGGTTCCCAAAGAAGGGAATTTAAGGGAGAGGTAGGGGGCATATCTTCTCATCCACATGTTCTGGCTGGCACATAAGTTCTGGATAGTAAGCTCCAATACCTGCTTAGACCTGCTGTACCTCCTCTCCTATTTTGTGTTTTGAACTATGTAGCTGAGGACAACTTGATTTCCCCACCACTACCTTCCAAGTGCTGGGATTACAATATCCACTGTTAAGCTCATTTGCACCTGACATTCTTGTGGACAGAAACAAGTGTTGGCCTATGGTTGGGGACAGGCATGGTTTGAAAGCCTGAGATAACCAGAAAATCTTTATTTTCCTTTGGAAAATGGTTTCAGTGAGTTGGGTATGGTGCGCACATCCGGAATCTCAACACTTGGCAGGTGAAGGATTAGCAGTTCATGCCTAGCCTCTCCTACATAATGAATTAGAGGCCAACCTGGGCTACAAGAGACCCTGTCTCAAAAGCAAACAGGAAGGGTTTCGTATAAATCATAAAAACATGTGAAGGGGGCCGCAGTACAGTGTCGTGGTTGGTGAGGACTCACCTGATAGGTGTAAGGCCTGCATGCAGTGTCCAGCAACCCTTCAAAAAAGTCAAACTACCCCAAACTAACTCTGTTGCCAGATAAAAAGGCTCTGTTAGGGCTCGCCTAGAGGGGAGTCAAGAGATAGGTACAGACAGATGAGAGAGGAACCCTGGTCACAGGGGCTGAAGAGTCTCTCGGGCTGCCTGCATGTTAGAGCTGGGCTGCTGATAGCTGACTCAGTCTAAGGCAAAAGCCCCAGAACCAGGGACACCAAAGGTGATGGTCTCAGTCAGAGGGCCAGGAGTGTGTCCCCGGGAACAGGGGGAAAGATAAAACCTGGAGCTCTGATGTGAGTGGCTAGATGACATCTCCTGAGGAGATCTCTTCTCACCTGGTGGACTCAACACCAGTCTTTGAAAACATCTTCACAGACGCCCCAAAATTCTGTTCTTCCAGGTGTCCAGAAATCCCTAATCTAGTCAGACTGGTACTGTTCTAACTGCAGTTCCAAAGCTATCACCTGAGTGAGCAGAGAGCTTGGGAGAGCCAGGGGTGTGTGGCAGTGGAGTCTGACATAATAGTGGTACATCCGTCCAAACCCATCGAACATATCAGGAGGAAAGAGGGCATGTTACGGGAATCTTCAGTCATGCGGACAGACTCATTTCATGGGGATGGTGACAGTGGCACTGAGTACATGGGACACTACTGCTTTGTGTTGTGAGCCTAAATATATTCTAGGAAGGGACTCTTAGGAAAACGGAATAAAACCCTTTGCTTTCTCCAAATATCTACTTCAAACACAGTAACAATAAGGGCATTTTCATCAAAGTCTTTAATAGATGTGCAAGAATACGAACGACCTTGGCCGTGGAGGGCGAGAACATCATCCACAGAAGGAACGCCGGCCGGCGATGGGCTCCACTGATCAATTGTACAAAACCACATGGTTATGGCTACTGCTTTACAATCATGAAAGTCACCAGTGTTCGTGAACCATTTTCAAAAGACACACGCTATCTTGCCCGGAGCCGTTTGCAAAACGTTAGGGTATTTCCCACCCACCCACCCCAAGTCACATTTCATTACATCCTTCACTTTCTTTAATTTATAAAACAAATTACTATATATAAAAATCTCCCCTTCTGGTGGGCACAATGTTATTCACACATTTGTACATGAGCAGCCGAACCAGTAACCAGCAAGTCATTTGGCAATAGGGCAGTATCCAAATAAACAACCCCATTTCTAACAAACCAAGGGCCCCTGTGCTGTTTGGGCAGAGTTGTTGCTGTCCCTAGGCAGCACACTGGGAGGAGAGGAGCTTGCAGGAGCCGGGTTGCTGTTGGACCATTTGTGGGCTCTTCATCTTAGCATTTTGGCTCATAGGCAGATGTGACTGCACAGCCCTCAGACTGGGGCTCCAGCCCCCTGGACATCCCCAGGCTGGGCTGGACACCCCTAGGAGGCCCAAAAATTGGCTCTTAGGCTCTTTGCATTTTTGTTGAGCAGTTGCTGGGGACAAGTCTTACTGATGGACACTGGGAGTGCTGGTTGAAATGTGTCCATGTTCAACAGGAGTTACAGAGCCACCCAGAAGCCTGGACTTGGGGTATGATGTCAGAAGCCTGGGCTGCCTGTTCTGTCCCAGCACCGTGGGCCTGGGTGTGGCTCTGATGAGTTCAGTGCCAGACATGGCAATGGCCTGAGAAACCTGAGTGTATTGGGGTGAGGGCTGCGGGCGGCCACGGGGCAGCACAGCAACAGCGCCTCTAACTTTTCATTTTCTCTAACTTTGAAATGTGACAGGGCCACCGGCCCCGAGGCATGAAGCGACTGTGACCGGAGGCTGGACTCCACCCTGCCTCGCACGGAGACTCGGGTCTCATTCCGGCAGGGTTGGGGTATGTAGCACGTCTGCTACATGGGCCAGCCTGGCTTGAGTGGAGCTGGGATGCTCAGTCACAGTGCAGCTGTCTCCCGCACTACCAAGGGCTGAAATGATGGCTCCTGCCACACCTGACCTGCTAAGGACTTAGCTAACCTCTTTCCAGGGAGCCTTGGGTTGGCCTCCCGAACTGCCTCTAATCTGAGGAGGAGGAGGAGGAGGATGGCTGAGCACAACAGTTATGGAAGCAGACCTGCTTCCTCAGGAAGAGTACAGGATTATGGGTATTCTGTCGCTTTAAGGCTAGGGTCCATCACACACGTGTCTTTAGATTTTCTAATCTGGAGTATTAGTGATAAAAATATTTTCCAAAAATCTAATGTATAACACAAGACATCTTGGAGGCACTGGCTAGTGTTTTCAGAAATATATTTTGTGCGGATTTAGTTTTCAATTATTTTTCCCTTTTTATTTATTTGGTTTTACTGGTGCTTTGGTGAGCAATGTTTTAGAATCTCTATAATCCAGTTTCCCCCATCAGAGTCCAAAGGGCTGGTGGGAACAGCGCCACCAACTTAGCCAGGATGTCACTTCAGCCTTGGACTACCACGGCTGGCTGCACTAGGTATGAAAATACTTGTTAAATATTAACAACAGAACTTACCGGGATTTAGAAAACGTTCCGAATCTGTAACAATTCTTGTTGCAGTGCATCCCTGCAGGCACTTGGGTGCCCGTCCCCTGCCTACGTTCTGCCTGCTCGGAAAACGCAGCTCCTCCTCACGTGGGGGCTGCGTTGGGGACGTCAGGCGGTGCCACTCAGAAAAAAGGCATCAGAGGAAGCTTCGACATCATCGGTACATTTTATTCCTCAGGGCATTACACGCTAACTTTCCTGGAGCGGGTCAGTGCATCGAGTTCTGTTTCTGTGGAAAATGTGCACCTTCAAAACGGCGTTGACTGTCTCGCCCTCTGGTCGGGCTGCCATGGGCACAGGAAGCGATTCCTCCAGCACAAAGCCAGCCTCTGGGGTCTGGACACAAGAGACTGCTCTGTCCAGAAGTGCCTGTTGGATGCCCCTCTGCGGTCTCAGTGGCCAGCATCCCTCCTTGGCTGCTCGGAGCCTCGTGCCCAGCCTGGCATGCATATGCTGTGGTTAAGGGTAAAGTGACAGGGTCATTCACAGGCGTGTCCACAACAGAGACGCTCGTGGCCTCACACGGACTCCTCAGCAGAGAGCAGAAGCGGGTTGATGTACTCAAAGCCTTCAAACTCAGACTGGTCAATCCTCTTTATGACGTCCCTAGAAGCATAGGAATGGGGTGAAGAGCGGTAGCTGTGTCCCTCCCTCAGGCACCACCCTCCCTCCAGCCCACACTGCAGAAGTAGGGACCCAGGCATGAGGCCATGTACCAGTCTAGACACAGGCTGCCTGTGGAGCCGGGCTACTCAGGACATGTTCCACTGTGGCATCTGTGGGGGCAGGTCAGGGTGTTTGGGGCCTTGCAGCGTCCTGCCCAGGACTTACTCGTCGTCTGGAGTCAGCTGCACGGGCTCGCTGGTGAACTGTGTATCAAAGTTGTCCAGGCCATAGTCGTCTGTGATCTGGGGCTGGAAGGGAGGCAGGGCCTGCTTCTTTTCCAGCTGAGAACATTGACAAGGGGGTGTCAGATGGGTGGTGAGCATCCCTCTGCCCGCTTCAGTTCTTTGTATGCACATAAATCACAGAATAAAATGGGAAGCTCAGCTTTTCAACATGCCTCATATTTGAATGCCATTTTTTTTTCTTCCCCTTAAAGCACAGAATCTAGGAGAAAATATCCAATGCCAGGAAAAGTCTACTTCAGTTAAAAAGTGATGGATGTACAGGCCCTGGAGACCTGTGCCTGGGGAAACAATGTCACTGCCAGTGGCTGGACCCTTTTTCCTTTCTTTCCTGGCTTGGCAACACCCCCACCTGGATGAGCACAGGAGAACCTATCTTCAGTCCTCTCCCCACGCTGAAGTGTCAGCTCCATCTTTTACTATTTAGAGGTGCACCCTCTAGTCCAGCAGGGAATGTACAGCAGACACCATGATGCATGTGCAAAGAATCCCCGCTCAGTCTCACACCTAAACCCATTCACGCTTGGTAACATGGCTGCTTGCATTCTAGGCATCTAGGTGTGACATATGGACCTCTGTGAATTCAAGACCTGGTCTAGATGCCAGTTCAGGCCAGCCGAGATACATAGTATAAAATGGCATAAACTTATGGGTTTCATTATGAGCTTTTCATACATTTACATTATTATGCTTTGTTCATATTCAATCCCCATTGCCATCTGTTCTAACCCTTGCTCCAAGCGTTTTGCTGTTGTTATAACTGTTCTGGACTCCAACAAAGAGAGAGGGGCGTGGTGTACCAAGATGGATTGGTTATGTATAATATAGCTGTTCAGCCGGGCAGTGGTGGCGCACACCTTCAATTGCAGCACTCGGGAGGCAGAGGTAGGCAGATCTCTGTGAGTTTGAGGCCAGCCTGGTCTACAGAGCAAGTTCCAGGGCAGCCAAGGATACACAGAGAAACACACACACACACACACACACACACACACACACACACACACACACACACACACACTACAGCTGTTTTTCATCAAGCAGGGCCCTTACGCCACACAGGGGCAACTACACACTTAGGGCATCTCTGAGCTTCAGTGCCCAGGGTGAGAGAGCCTTCTTTCCAGCATTCGCTCAGCTCTTCCAGGGGAAGATGGGTGACAACTGGTCTCAGAACAATGTACAGATCTGTCCCAAGAGCCACAGTGCTCTACGTGAGCTAGGGATGCAGGCCCTGAAGAGACACTGCATGGGTCTGCACTTAAACCCACATATGGCCGCCATGACCATGGGAGCTGATGTGTAGTCCCCCTACCCCCATCCAATGATGGCTCTGTGGCAGGGTCAGTGTCTGGGTTATAGCTGCCTCTCAATGTTCTTAGAAACAAAACTAATCCTACAGAGTACAACATACACGGGTGAATGAGTGAGTGAGCAAGTGGATGAGAAAATGAATGAAGAAGGTGTGAAGAGTGGGTGGATTCATGAATGAGTAAGAGAATAAGATTAAGTTAAGAGTCCTATCCTGCTAGTACAACAGAAGACCCAAGACTGGGTAACCAAGAGGACTAGACGTTTGTCCTTGTGTTCTGGGGGTGACTCTTTACCTCTAATGAGGCACCTTGAGCCCAGGGCTGCAGCGCTGCCTTTCAGGCTAACTGGCCCAGGCCTAACCCCTCCCACACCCCAGCAGTTCCCAGCAGTTTTGGGGACATACTTAGCTGTCTAGAATACAATTGACTGTTACCAAGCATGAATGGGGGTGAGTGTGGGAATGAAGGAGGACTCCTTGCCACATGCATCGTGGTACCATGTGGTGACACGAGAGTCCCTTCTGACTGCTGCGCATTCCCGGCTGGATTAGAGGGTCCACTTCTAAATAGCAAAAGTTGGAGATGGCAGCACCAAGCCAGGCAGCCTCTGGAGGAACTCCAGACCTCAGTGAGTCTGCTCGGAATACACTAGCCAGCACAGAGGACAATGGGGAGTCAGTTCCCAGCACGGCTGTGGGTGGGAGGTGAGCCGAGAGAAGATGGAGAGCACTGACCCCTCTGACTCTTGGCATCCAAACAAAGACGCCCCAAGGCCAGGGTGCTGTTGCCACTTTCGCCTTCTGAAGTCTGGGCTACGAAGGCTGGTCCTGGGCAGTAAGGGCAGGAGGTCCTATTCAGACTCAAGGGCGGGGAGGTGTGCCTGGGGCTAGTAGCAGTTGTAACCCCATTTCTGATGCCTCCACCTGGCCGTGGTTCCCACAACTGCTTGCTTGTCTCTGGAGCCCCGGCACGGGCCTTCTGAGAGTGGCCCTTCATCTGGTCCTCCTGTGTTTTCCTTT